GCTTAACCTACTGAACCACTGAACCGGCATCCAATGGTGCTAATGTCTAACCTCAACCAATCCACGAAGTTGCGTGACCATCTTCCATTGTACTGAGGTAGACACTTGTTTCTACCCGACACGGATTAGCTCCACTGGTCACGGCTTCCCACCAGAACTCTGAGAATTTTCTCATGAAGCTAGTCAACAGCGAGCACATGCTAATTATCAATATAGTGATTGTGGATGAATTTACTGAATATTAAGGCTTTAGGTTTATGAAAATCAATCATTCTTATATTGTTTATTTGGATCTTTTCATTTGATGCTAAGGAATGGAATTGATTAGTATCTTATTAGCATATTTACATCTTATACGAATTTTCTTGGCATTATCTTTAATCACAAGCATTACAAATTGAGATGATAGCTAATAGTGGAATCTAGGACGCTCGTTTCGTCCCGGAGTAAATACCAACATTGGGATGCAGATACATTCAGCAGACGATTCTTGAATAAGCTGAAACGCGCATTCTAGATTCCATCGTTAGACATCATCCATCTTTGTTTATGAAAGTTATGTCTTTATAGGACGGTAGATGAATAAATGAGAAAAAATTAGTTGTATCTACATCAAAAATAATACAAATTTTTATAATCAACTGATCTTAAAAGAAGGTTCATTAAAACAAAAAACAAGGAGCATTGAACGACAGTTTTAGTTTACTTGAAACTTTTAATGTACCCCATTTTTTTATTAAAAAATCGGAGTACCATTTTCGAAAGAATGAAAAATGACATAGGTTGAAGTAATCACAATACAATTTAGATTTTTTCGCAATAATATACCTTTAAGGTATTCATGTACAGTATACATAAACTCTAAAAAAAATCATTATGGATACTATAACTGCATTTTTGTTAACGTGCTTCAGATATTCGACTAATATTTATTTAATTTTCCATGGTGGTCTAGCTTCAACTGACTCATGATCTTAACCATTGAAATTACTATGATATCCACAAAACCCATCTGATATTAATCACTAGTGACTGGCCTCAAGAGGTGTATCCTGGAGTTCTAGTGAGAAGTATTGACCAGTGGAGTTCAACCAGGTCTGTTGTGAGACAATGGTGGATGTGTCACTCAATTTAGTGTGTTAGTTGGAGTTAGACATTAACACCCCTGAATGCCGGCCGGCTCAGTGGTCTAGTGGGTAAGTGCTTGCGCTCGAAACCATTAGGTCCTGGGTTCGAATCTCGCAGGGGGCGAGGTCGTGGATGTGCACTGCTGAGGAGTCCCACAATAAAACGAAATGTCCGTCCAGTGCTTCCAGGTTTTCCATAGTGGTCTAGCTTCAACTGAATCATGATCTTAACCATTTAAACTACTATAATATCCACAAAACCCATCTGATATTAAAAATTACTTTAACATAATTTGTTTATCGTTTTACCATTCAGGATAATCCTATCGACTTAGAATGACATTTAAAAGGTTATCATTTTGATTCTTGGTGTCGTTGTAACTGCAGACTCTTGTGGAGTTGTTCACTGCTTCTTGTCTTTCAACTGTTGTCTGAGTAAAGTCAAACCAAGATATAAGACAAGAAGTTTCACGATCATCACAACACTTTACGATAACAATAGAAAAATCAGATCAGGTCATAAGAAAAAATCAAATCAATCAAACAAGCAAATGGTTTTTATGCAGATATCTTAATGATTAGTTTTCTCTTAAAATATTCGTAGATGATGTTATCTACAAAAACAATTAATGGTATACGGTTAAGTCATCCAGATCACAAACCATCGGCTCTTAAACATTATTATCCACTGGTTAAAAATAGGAACAAGACGTTTATCAAAGAAATCTTTCATTCCCAATGGTCTACAACAATAAATTCACGTTTATTTGACAATGATCACCAACAGAATGTTCAACAGTTATGAAACATTATATTTAAATAAGATTAAATAGATTAAGATTTCACTGATGATCCGTATTGAATACAACACTATTGATACGAAAAATTCATTCAGTCCTAGCCTTGTTCACTCTGTAAACAAATCCATGTGACCAAAACAGATTGGATTACATAATAGTTTTCTATACGTAATCATATTTCAATTGTCGTTGTGTTCCTTTTTGTTTTCGATTTTCTTTGAAAAAATATTCACGAAAGTACTTATCATGACATGGTTCTAAAAGATCCAGATTGATACACTGTAATTAAACATGCTTAGTATATAAATGGATGTTACAATATAGATGTTACAATTTGTTTTACACTGAATTTCTATCATTTTGATATAATTGTAGTAAATTAATAATTTTCATTATCATTATTTCTTATCATTATAAATCCTAGTTCAACTAACACACGACATAGATGAGACTAATGCAGTGAAATCATATTGTAATAGATAGAAGTTGTATTCAGTTGAATGCGACAAAAAAGGTACATTGAAAACTTTAGGTTAACATAAAATATTTAGTGAAATAGTTGAATGTTAACTTCACTGCAATCGTAAGAAATGTAAAAACTAGAAAACAGCAAGAATTTTTTGATCAAATTTATAATAATGATAGAAACTATGCTATACAAATTAGGTACTGAGATAGTAGAGAAGATTTATGGCTCAGGTGGATGATTTTGATGGAGTTTTGTTATGTGAGCTAGATGATTTGGTCTTGGAGCTTCCATCGTACTTCTGAACGACATCATCAGCACAAACTTCAAATACAAGACTATTTGACCAAAACATTCAGCTCAAAGAACAAAATTCCATCAATATTAGGTACTGTTGTTTAAGTATATCCTTAAAACAAATAAGTAAATGAAAACGGATTTTTGTATGAGGAGGATTTTTTTAAAGCTTTCAGAAAGTGGTTATCCAAATCAAATATGAAGTCAAATAATCATTGAGAATATTTGACAGCAACCAGTAAGATGTGAGATCAGTGATTGTTTTCTTTTGTCTAAAGACAAAAAAAACTCATTTACTGGTTTTTGGATGAGTTACAAGTAACTTAGTAAACAAAATTGTTATCTTTCTTAATCGATCACTAATTTAAAGATGAAGTGATTTTTAATTAAACCTGTATACCGAGCACTTAAGCATTGTAAACCTGTTAATTTATAGTAAATGAGAACACAAGTGGGGACAATCGAATGTAATTGAACACTAAATTACAGAACATCTTAGTAAAATCTGAAAACCAGATTGTAAGTACTGCGTTTGAAAAATGCCAATCAATCCTTTCAGATTTCACTATTCCTTTATTTCTACAGCAATAATTTTTTGTTCTCATTCGCTTTTTTTTTAATCTTCTTAACGTTTGCTGCCAAGTATTTCACTTTCGATTGATGATATATACTACTTATATCTGTCGATATCAGTTGCACATATCATATATTTACATCTTAATAAACGTCTAAGAGAAATAATAACTTTTAAATTGAAATCTTTCTCAAATTAAATGATGCTTTGCATCAGTTCATGCAAAATTGTATAAACGTCAATCTCTCAAGTTATATTTTTTGACACCAAATGCCCTAGCAAGGCTGGCTCCCAAATGTCTTGATATGGCGGTTCCCCAAGTTCTCTGGTACGACCGAGGGTGGGGAGAGTCCGCTCTCCTTCTCGAAATGCTTTCACATGGCCACGTGTATACAACCACTGTCAGGGAAGTCTTAATCACTGACTTCTCGCACCACGGGTGTTGTTTACGCAATTGAGAGGACGAAAAACGAACGTTCAGCGCTTTAACCGGGTTGGTGAATACGGAGAGTTCACCTAGGGGGATTGGAAAACCCTGATTCCAAACCAATAATGCACATGGGCTCTAGTACCCAGAGGGAACAAATGGCGTATGAACCAATCGTTGGTCACCGTCTACCAATTGGACTGCATCTCCTGTTGTTGCTCCACTGCCTTGTGAACCCAACCTTGCGGTCGAAGGCTCCGTGTGTGGCGCCCTAAGAGAACCACCTACTTCGGTTCGAGCACTTAGGCAGTATCACAACCCTCACAAAATTCTAATGAAATTTGTGTGGCGCATATGTATCTGGTCCACATTTGTACCAGTATTTATGTGTTCAAATAAATTAATAAATAAATTTAGAATAAAGAACAACAATTTGGTTAGAGAATACAATAAATATCATTGTATTGTTATGTGAGATAATATTCAAACAAAATCCTGAAACACTAAATATATATCGATAAAGATAATGGAAAGTTATAAGTAACCTTTGGAAAATATTAACATTAACAAAGTGATATGGAATTATGTTAGAATAAGAGATTAAAATTCTTTTTATTTACATATGATATTTGTGTTAAAATGATTGAGATGTCAAAAAACTCTTCAACTCTGGATTTATAGTTTTTGTTAGGCACCTTGTTTGATTATGCACATAATTTTTAAACAATTTCCGGTTAGACAACGTGGTTGCATATATATATATATATATATATATATATATATATATATATATATATATATATATATATATATATATATATATATATATATATATATATCTGTTTCCCTAAGCCAGACCTAAATGAAATTATACTGCAGTACGTTGATGAATTTCCGTTTTCTACTGTCAAATAGAGAGTAAAAAGGATTTTATTGCCAAATATTAACTCATTCTATACACAGTTTCAAGTCAAATAGTTTTTTGATGTTTGATTGTTAACATTGTGATAATCATAAATGCCTAGTTAATATATATACTGTTTCAATTAAAACATTATCCATCTAATAATACTGGTCGATGGGAATAAACTAATCAAAATGATTTTATAAAAAAAAAAGAAAATGAACTTCTGTTGAGTCTATTACAGGTTTAGTTGTTAGTGTATATATATATGTATTTGATTTTACTCAAGTTTGCCCGACTATTCATGTGCATATGTATCGACAGATAATATGGTTAAGTGTAGACAGAATGAGCTCATATATGGCAGTTGATTGAAAATGTGATTGGTTAGTTAACTGTCACTGTTAACAACTGGGATAACTTTATATATATATATCTAGGTGAGCATGTCTGTAAACACTGGATAATGAGTATATATCATAAAAGATAAGTGATCAGGTAAATAATGGAACTGGAATTTCTAGAAAATTTCACTTGACCTAATTCTTTATTTTTTTTAAAAAAAAATAAGCTCATAATATAAATTATCAAAAGTAATTATTTATTTCCCTTAATATCTTCATTCATTCATTTATTCCATTAGTATTCACTTATTTCAATCATTCTGAATAAATTTAGTTGTCAATGCTTATTTTATCAATTAAGATCATACAGTAGAATATATATTAATCCTTATTATTGATTCGATCCATTCAATATTCACTTTGTTGAAAGTATTCAGAGAAATTATACTGAAATTACATATACTACTTATATTAGTTATATTCTGGAATTATATTTATATATATGTATGGTTTATATTAAAATTATGAAATGGTGTATATTTTACAAGGTATATTAAATTTTCCAAATAATCAAAAATCTCAAACTCTTTGTTCATTTCAAATTCCTAATGGTAATACAAATATTCCATCATGGTCAACGCATACATTAGGTATACAACAGCCTAATCTTAATAATTTAACTAATCCATGTATTATAAATTATTTAAATGGAATAAATACATCTAATACAATTAATGATACAATTGATCCATTAATATTACATGAACAATGGTCTAGAAATACAAATATTGAATTTAATCAAGGAACAATATCACCAGTATGGAATGGAGATTATCATTCTGTTGGAAATACTATTCCAATTTTATTAGAAATGCCTACAAGTATAAAAGTAAGTGAAATCTTGATTAGACTATAATTTATGAATGATTTTTGAGTGACGTTAGACTGACCTAGAGAGAGTGTCAACCTAATAACCAGAACCAAATGAGAGTTATAAGTCTGTATGAAGAATTATAATTAAGGTTAGAAATTAGATTTACGGTTTTTCATCACGAACTGACATCAGCTATAATGCCAAAACTCTGTTTATCTAAATGGAGGGATAAATTTCGCGTCAAAATCTGAGACCTGTTATCTTATACCTAATTAGTTCGTCCATAAATTATAGTATCGTCGAAATCTCTTAAAAATTAAACGAATACATTTAAATGTTTAACATTTTCCTTATGGTTTAGGTAAATATCCCATCGATAATTATGATCATTGAGATATAAGGTGACTTTGTATTCTCAAAGTTACAGTTTACTGTGACAGTTGGTTTACATAACTAAACAAAAATATGACATTAGAAAGTTATTAACTTTTCACATCCATTTGTAGCCTTGAAATGATTTTAAAATTTAGATAGAATTACAAATGTTTTACGTCGAACAAATATTGTCATAACTAAGCACAAGGTTTGTGTATCCCAGATTGAAGCCTGCGTTTTTTTTTAAAAATATTTTCTCAAGATGTGTACATTGCTACGTGAACTAACACATTCGTGTATTTTATCAGTGTATTCTATTAAGTATGCAAAAAAAACTTTAAACACAATTCAATACTCCATGAGAATTGCTTATTTTGTATTCTGTTAATATGTTCAGACAGTGTGAAAACTGTAATGACCAACTGATAAAACTGTTAAACATCGGTTACTTAAATTCATAGTTATTTTCAGCTTCATAACGGCCATTATTCATCAATATGATGGAATGATATGCTAGTTTCTAAATTATCTTCTTTTATGCCAATTTACACAGTAACAAGGGTATAATAATGATTCATTTCAGTGTATGATATTGATGATGATGTTAAACCAATATTTATTTAATAGGTTTATTTTTTTTTACTGGGTAAACATGATAGTTACAGGGAAATTAAGCATTATCATTCATGATTAAAAAAAACAAATATATTTCCCCATTCTATGATTTGAATATCAGCCTTGAGAAAAGTGGGCCATATACTTGTTTGTCTGAAAAAATTATCTTTTTTTATCTAGCTAGCCTAGAATAGTCAAACCCGTTTGAATGACTATTTTTTCAAAATTAGGTTTATATAATAAGAATCGTTGCAAGCCATGTTTTCGTGACATTTGGTTACAGACGTTTTATGGCTATGGTATAATGTTTCTATCAAAATCATTTTTCAGTTTAATGACTTGGAAATAGATCTCAGCTTAAACGATTTGAACCTAACAACTTCCATATTTCATTCATGTGTTTCAGTTATATATAACTATCGATTGTTTAACGTCCTGACACTAACGTAAACTTTAACCATATCTATTATTACATAAACTATTTTAAGTCTGTTTTGAAAGTGAATCATGTCAATTTGTAGACATAACAAGTGAAATGTGGCTAATAGTTGAATCAAGGTCGCACATGTCATCCTCTATGGGATTCGTAAGTTAGATGTACCGGCGCTGAAGCGTTGATATTCACTCCAAATCATTACAAATTAAATTATTATAAATAATGATTCAACTTAATGTTCTGTCTGTAAAATTATCAAAACATTTAGCCAATTAGATGATTTGGCAACAAAGTTATAACCATTTTCTTACTGCTTCACATAATCCAGATAATGAATAACTTTTATGATCAAAGAGAGTGATTAACGCGATCTACTTGGATCATAATTGATCAATAGAAATAAATGTTGGTAAAAACTGCATACTAAAAAAGCCTAAAATACTTTTACGGCATAAAGACAATTCACTGTATTTTAGTCAATTACTTTAGAGGAAATTTAATTTTTTTAACTTTTCAAAATTAAGAAAGAAGAGACAGCACAAGTACCAAATATCTCTAACCAAATCAAACATAGTAAACTACTGAATTGCTTAGATGGTAGTTTTTATGCGATTTTTAAGTGGTATTTTTTACCAATCGATATTTCGTTGGAAATTGGTGAAAATCAAAGGAGTATTGGAAAGTTATTTTATTTTGAACTAGTGTTAACTTTTGGTAAAAAAATATTATTGTCAGAAGGGGTTTTGTGAAAATTTCAGTAATTTCAACAGTTGAAATCATAAGTCAATTGAAACTGGACCACCATGAAAAACCTTGAAGCACTGGACGGTCGTTTCGTCCCAGTGTAGGACTCCTCAGCAGTGCTCATCCATAGTGACGGTGGCGCAGTTTCATGGATTGATTGAAGTCAGACGTTAACACGGTTGGATACCAGCCGGCTCAGTGGTCTAATGTCTGAGCGCTCGCGCGCGAGACTGACAGATCCTGGTTTGGAATCTCGCTGGGGGCGGGATCATGGATGCGCACCGCCAAGAAGTCCCATGTTAGGACAAAACGGCTATCCAGTGCTTCCAGGTTTTCCATGGTGGTCTAGCTTCAATTCACTCACGATTTCAACTATTGAAAAAAATGATTAATCCAAAGTAGTAGACCACTGATGAAAAACTAGTTTAGCAAATAGTGACCATTTATATTGATTTTGTATTGTTTGTTTGAATGTTTTCATTGATGTTTAAGACTGCAATTGATTAGCCACTTATTTGTATACGTATATCTTGTGTACATCCTGAATTCCACTGCTAGCCACCTTTCATGTTTGCTTATAGCGAGCATTTATGCTCATTGTCATTGACTTTTGAGATGGATTCCAAGCTTGATAGAAATAACCAAACATGTATCAAAATTTTAACTTTCTAATACTGCTGGAGAAAAGAAATATTACACTTGAAATTTGTTCAACCGTCAAAAAAGTGGAATCATCCACGTTATCCTCTGAAAGTACCAGGTCTAATCTAAAGTGATAGAGTAGATTTCGCATTATAGTAAAGTAGAGAACGATACACAATGTACTTTAAAATGTTTATATAAGTATTGATTGACTGTAATGAAAATGTCCTATCAATATCAGTGAAGATATTACAAAGTCACCCAAAGAAAATTCATCACCTCTTCATTCGATTATTTGCAATGCAAAATATGTTACATAATAGCTGACTTTTACAAGTATGCGTCGTACATGAAATAGAAACGATATATATATATATATATATATATATATATATACAGCTGTTTACCAACGATCAGATAAAATGTCTCATCACGCAATAGATTACAATTAAGTAATTAAAATAGACTTTTTAATTGGATGTTATGTCACATACATTAGACTAATTGCAATAATTTTGAACTTTTAGTCTAGTCCATTTACTAGTCTCATCAGGTTTCCATCTTATTATTCCCGTTGTTGTTGTTTGATCTTTTTTTATAGTTGAGTGTTTACTTTATTAATGTTTTTCTATATAATTAAAGCAAATCAAAGCCTATAGGTAAAGCTTTTTTCTTGGTTGACGGATCATGTACAGATTTATTGATGAGATTTCATATTAGAAACTGGCCAAAATTCTATCACTTGTTACCATCAATAAAACCACACCATTTTGATACGTTTAACAGTGTAATTTAATAAGACCCTACATAATTTAAATATATATATGTATTAACCTGTCATAATACAGGGTTACTACAAGACTGATCTTTTTATTACACTGACTATCTAAAAGTTGATTGATATTACAAATGCTTCAAAAGGAAATTCAATAATTTTATAATCAAACAAGAACGGCTACCCCATCAACTTCATCAAAAAATACCAACCGCACGCAGCATTAGAACTCAAGTCAAGCACAAAAATCAACAAAAGGATCACCCTACCATATATACAAGGAATATCAGAAACAGCGACGAGACTGCTGAAAACCTTCGGAATAGGTGTGGCACACAAACCGACAAAATCACTACAATCAATCTTATGCAAACCAAGAGATGAAATAACAAAGGAAAACAAATCAAACATCATCTACAAAATAAATTGTGCCAACTGCGAAAAACACTACATCGGACAAAGCGGACCCCCGCTTCACCTTCGCCTACATGAACATCAATTAGCAGTCAAACTGCATGATATCTCTTCACTTATATCAATACACGTGGACAACTGCGGACACTCATTCGATTGGAAAAATGTGGAAATCTTAGACAGAGGAAACTCCAAAAACACCAGAGAATTTTTAGAAGCCTGGCACTCAGGTCAATCAGCAATCAACAAGCATATTGAAATCAATCCAATTTATCAACCAATCAGAAAAATCATGCACAAACATAAGAACAAAAATCAAAACAATCGGAGACACAACCAAAACAAAGAAGTAAACAACGACAAATTTAAGGTCAATAAGAGCCAATCAACGTCGAGGTGCACAGAACAAGCTTTGAGACACATATGGAGAAATTCAAACACTTCACTTCAATCTGAAGTTTGTGCTGATGATGTCGTTCAGAAGAACGATGAAAGCTCCACAACCAAACCATCCAGCTCAGAGAACAAAACTCCACCATTTAAAATGCTATTTGAAAGTTATGACATGAGAATACAATCATTCTGATTTATGTTAGCAATTAGTTATGAGTTCTATTTTATCACTATGTGCTTCTGCTTTGCGATTGTCTCCGATACAGGGTATCTTTTGTTGATTGTCCAATACCGGTAACAAAAAAAACGCATAATTCATTATTTCCATGGCCTGAAAATGATTTGTACCTTTGGTTATAATCGTATTCAAAAATCTATAAATGCAACCCAATATTTTCAAATTGAATATCGAAACCCAAATTATTATTAACCAATAACAATTAATTAAATTGATCTTATAATTCTTTTTCCCATTTATCAGTGTCCCATTGATTATTGATGAAGAATCAGTAAATCATTATTAATTTCTGTATTGATATTTTGTTAACCTCATTATTATTTCCGTTTATATTGTTTCGAAATTCACTTAAATATTCCAATCAAAAGAGATCTTAGTAGGAT